TGATATTCCCTGACTCCAATTGTGTATTAAGTAAACTGACAAAAGAGAAATTAATTGGTAGAACTGTGGATTTTAACCAGTTATAAAGTAATCTGAAACTTTTGAAAAAGAGTTTATCAGTTCTATTTAATGAGAGAGAGATGATTGAGAATTCCGGAGAAAGAGTAAAACATCATCTGCATAAAGACTGATCTTACGTTCTATTTTCTTACACTTTATCCCTTTAATACCTGTTGTTTACCTAATTGCTACTGCTATTGGTTCAATAAAGATAGCAAACAGTGAGGGGGAGAGTGGGCATCCCTGCCTAGTCCCCCTCTGAAGACAGAAGCTAGCTGACATTTGGTCGTTCGTCCTGACACGTGCAGTTGGTGAACTGTATAATGTAAAGTTGCAAATAAGAACTTCCAGTTAACTCTATCAAAAGCCTTTTCTGCATCTAGAGATAATTACTAGTTTCTATGTTTCTACTGTAAGAGAAATCTATCAAATTAAGTAATCTACGAGAGTTTGTGGATGACTGTCTACCCTTGATGAAACCAGTTTGGTCAGAGTGTATTATGAAGGGGGTTACCATCTCTAATCTTTTTGCCAGGGCTTTACAAATTATTTTGAGATCATTATTAATAAGGGAAATTGGGCGATAGCTGGTTGGAAATGTAGGGTCTTTGCCTGGTTTTAACAAGAGACGAATATTGGCTGAGTTCATGTTTGGCTGTAATCTGCCACTCTCTTCGATTTCCCTCACCATTCTGAAAAATATTGGAGCCAGAATGATCCAGAGTTCTTTGTAGAACTCTGCTGGAAACCCATCTGGAGCTGGAGCTTTCCTATTAGTCATGGATTCAAGGGCTTCCTGGAGCTCCGCTGATGTTAGCGGCGAGTCCAGGACTGTAACTTGGCTGTCTGATAATTTAGGAAGTGTTATCCTGCCAAGGAACTCATTGATCTCGATATCTGATGGGTTTATCTGTGGTGAGTACAAAGTTTGGTAAAAGTCTCTGAAAGTGTGGTTCATGCTTTCAGGGTCATAAACTATATTCCCGGTTGAGTCTTTAACAGCAGATATGGTAGTTTTCTCTTTATTAATTTTTAAATGGCTAGCCAAAAATGTACCTGATTTATTACTATGTTCAAAGTTTTCTATTCGTAGTCTTTGTGCTAAAAATTGTGTCTTTTTGTCAATAATTCCATGAAGTTCTAATTTAGCTTTACGTAATTTGTTCATTAATTGTTCTTCTGTGGATGCCTCTAAAGACTTAATGATTTCCTCTAACTCCTGAATACGTTTGTTTTCTGTTTTTTTCTTATGTGATGAGAAAGAGATTATTTTACCTCTCATCACTGCCTTTCCTGCCTCCCAGAGAATAGATGCTGATGTTCCAGGCAGGACATTATGTTCTAAATATAAAGCCCACTCCTTTTTAAACAAAAACAATAAAACCTTCGTCTTTAAGCAGTGATGTATTAAACCTCCAGTTTTTGTTTGGTGGGATTGTCTTCTTGTTTACCAGAGTTAAAGAAACCGGAGCATGGTCGCTGACAGCTATGAGGTGCATCTCAGTGTCTGAAATGTCAGCCAACAATGAGCTGCTGACTAGAAAATAATCCAAACGTGAATGAGAGTGATGGACGTGTGAGAAAAAAGTATACTCTCTAGGGTTAGGATGAAGAGATTGCCATGCATCACAAAGCCCATAATCACTCATGTACTGTTTAACTATATTAGTGGATTGCCAATTGTGCTGAGTCCCAGCTGTACTGAGCCTGTCTGTTAAAGATTTCATCAAAAAATTAAAATCGCCTCCAAGTATAAGTGGACAGTCTATGTGTTCGGAGAGTAAAGAGAAAAAATTATGAAAGAATGAAGGGTCATCAATATTTGGACAGTATGTGCTGACAATACATAAGCTTTGGTTCTGTACAGATATTTTTAACATTATAAATCTACCCTCTGGATCAGAGACTGTGTCCAATACTGTGAAATTGATGTTTTTGTGTATTAAAATAGCTACACCTCTTTGCCTAGAGTTATAGCAGGCAGAGAACATTTCACTCCACTTTCCAGCCTTTCATCTGTGGATGTGGCAGATCTATGAGTCTCTTGTAATAATATTACGTCTGCTTGCACTCTTTTTAGCTGATCAAAAATCTTTAATCTTTTCTCTATGGAGCCAGCTCATGAGACAAACTTTAGTGCACCCATAGATGTGTGTGTGAGTAGCTAAAATATGATGCCTTCACGTGACTAAGATGGAATAAGTATCTAAATGTATAAAATAGTATGTTAATAAGTAACAGAAAAGTAAATAATAATAATAATAAAGATCCAACAGTGTGGTTGTATTATTTGACGCATAAATTATGATATTGTGCTGTGGATTTAATGTATATATTTGTGTGTGTGTGTGTGTGTGTGTGTGTGTGTGTGTGTGTGTGTGTGTGTGTGTGTGTGTGTGTGTGTGTGTGCGTGCGTGTGTCGAGTCTGACGCAGTGTTGGAAAGTTGTGTGGTTGTGCCATACAGGTGTAAAGGTACAGAAGCAGGTAAAGAGGAAAGGAAAATACAGATACAGGTTAAAAAAGAAGAAAGAACAAAAAAGAAAAGATGATGGGGTGTGAGGTGGTGATGAACAGGTGACCTCATCATCTAGAAAACGGATTTAGCAGCTGTTTTATCCTGACATGCTCAAACCCAGTGAATCCTGATAGGAATAGTAAATGTCTGACCTGATGCTGGGCTAATACAGCCTGTCTGTCACTCCTTGCTCCTTGTAAAGCTTATTGTCCACGTAAAGCTTATCTACCGAGGTGACAGCCCTCTTCCCATCCTGGATAAACTTTTTGCGCAGCAGAAAGAGGACTTGGTGCCGATCCAGGGTTTCCTTAGGGAACTGGTCATTTACGCTGAAGTCTTTTCCTTTGAGCTCTTTTCCATGGCTTTTAACAAGATCCTTCTACTTAAAATGCTCAAATTTAGCCACGATGGGACGAGGGCTTCTGCTGTCCACTCTTTTAGCTCCAAGGCAGTTCTTCAGCCAATACGTCGGCCATGTTCAGAAGAATAGAACCGGAGATAAAACAAGTTCTGGTTCAGAGCAAGAGTTTATAAAGAAGTTAGCGAGATCCAGCTTTTATTTTGGTAACCAACTTCTGCTTATTGGCAAGCCAATTTGCATATTAGCTAAATGTTTATGTGCCAGCTAAATATTTATTTTCCACGATGTTATTTAGCTCCACACTATATTTTATATTTTTTGATTCAGACTTAAATATTTATTTCTCAAATACTGATTTTGCTAACTAAATGTTTAGCTCCAAAATAAATATTTAGCTGGGATCTAAATATTTATTTCTAAAAATAAATATTTAATTTACAAATTAAATATTTAGTTCCAAAATAAATATTTAATTAGAAAATTAAATATTTAGTTAGTGAATTAAATATTTATTTTACAAACTAAATATTTAGATCAGACCTAAATATTTAGTTTGCAAAATAAATATTTAACTACAAATTAAATATTTTGCTTGCTAATATTTATTTGGAAACTTTAACTTTTATAAATGTATGAATAACATGAAAATATGATTTCGAAAAAGTGAACTCCCAATTTTTTCTCATATGATATGCTAAATAATATGACCAAAAATATTGCTCTTAGATTATGACTGTTTGACTTTACAAATGGCACCCCATACATCTTCTGGGATAGTATTCACTCGTGGTTAACGCATAATAATTTCATTATACGCTCCTTATCTTTTTCTGACATCAAGTATGGTATTAGTTTGGAAAATAAAATGCAGCAATGCACTGTCAATAATTTGATTATTTTCGCCAAATTCTTTACACACCAATGTAAATTTGGCAATATCAAACCGATCTTTATTGTTTTTTTGAAAGAACTTGCATCCTTTATGGATTCTCTTAAATTATGTAGTTCCATGAAAGCCATTTGGCTCTAGAACAATTTGATGAGGGTTTCCTTTACCCCTAATAATGTTGTTTGATGTAATTATTTTTGTTATGATTTCCTGCAGGTTGATATTGAGCTAGGTTAATATTATTGTTTCTGTTTGTACACCTGCCTTTTTTTTTTGTCATGCTCAGAATTCAACTGTAAATATTGATTCTTATGTAAGCCTGTAAGCTTCATTGGTTAAATAAAACTTGTTTAAAAAAAACTTGCATTCTGTTTTTCCGAGGAACTGCGGATGTAGGTAAGCGGAAACGTGGAGAGCATTTTTAGCCAATCAGAAGCGAGAAAGGCGGGACCTTCCTTGGATTCTTCGTGAACCAAAGCTGCTAGCAGCGTTAGCTTATTGTTCGGTGTGTGAGGTGAACCTCTGAGGCTCTGCGGCAGCGATGTCTTCAGCTCAGTCTCTGAGAGAGTTTATCAGAGAGCGGCTAACTGCTGCTGCTGCAGAAATATTCTCCGAGTTTGAACAAACCATCGTCCGCTACGAGGAAGAGATCGATCGTCAGCGCAGACTGCTGGAGATCAGCTGGAAACCACAGATCAACTTACACAGAATAGGTATGAAACAGCAGCGGGACTCGTGTGGTTCTACTGAGGACACAATCTCAGGACAGTCTGCTTGGGTCCGTCTGCTGTTCTGAAGCTTTTTGACACAACCGAGGCAGTATATATATATATATGAGAGAGATTTATAAATATAGAGATCTTAGAGGTCACACTAGATATTTTTGTTCATTTTGATGACAGGATAATAAGAAACACCTACATGTCTAAGTCTAACATATACCACTAAACTTTCATTAAGTTTTATCTAGCCCAAAGAAGCTTAACAGCATGTCAAGGTTACAATTCTAGACTACTGCCTATGTGTATATACATGTACCTTTGTTAATATTTTTCTTTTAATTATTCTCTTAAGTGTTGGTGCTGCTGTAACAAGCAAATTTTCCCACCCTTGGATCAATAAAGTCTATTCAATTCTATTATTGTTACTTAGTCTGGTCTGTTTGTCTGTCCAGAACTCCCACTGCATTATGCCAGGAGAGATGAGGAGGTTCTGACTGACCAGCAGCTCTGGAACCAGGAGAGGACCTCCAGTTTGGACCAGGAACAACCAGAACCTTTACAGGAGGAACCAGAACCTCCACAGATGAAAGTGGAGCAGGATGAGCCAGAACCTTTACAGATTCTAGAACAAGAGGAGCTCAGCATCAGTCAGGATGAAGAGCAGTTTGTACTGAAGCAGGAGACGGTTACCTCCCTTGTGACTCCTGCTGATGAGGAAAGAGACCACGATGAACCAGAACCAGACAGACACCAGCTCCTTTTTTCACTGTTTCCTGAGGCTGAGAACAGAGCTGCTGCTCCTCCAGGACCAACAGGTGAGGAGAGCGGGGGTCTATGCTCATTTTCCTTACTGTGACATCACGATAATGGACTTTTAAAAACAACACTTTTTAGGCTTATAGACCGCTTATCGGTCCATGTTAGAGCCCTGCGTGGGACTGTTTTCTTCATCCTGCTCCTGCCCGCTCCCGCTGAATTTCTGACCATTACCGCCCGCAACCGCAACGTGTGTGTTACACTCCCGCCCGCACCCACAGTGTGCATGTCCACTCCTGTCCGCAACCGCAAAACCCGGAAAAATTATTACATCACAATAAAAGAGATGGATTGAGTTTGTGTCCTCTCTGGTCCTGGAGAAAACATGTCATTTTATAGGCTATACAGAAAGCACATGAATCTTTGTTTCATTTCTCAGGCCTGCACGTCTTTTAACACATTGGTCAGGATTGACGCACTTTGTTTTCATTTAGTTTTGAACCCTTTAACGCCGAGGCATCACCAGGATCACCGGTGACGCCTCAGCGCATGGGATTTCAAATAACTCCTCGCTACTTAAATTGAAAAATTAAAGGATAAATAAAGGAGCTACTGTGTGGTGCTTAAAGGGTTAATGAAATCAAGGCAGTTTCATATTCTATTCTTCTCTGTAATCGGGTAGTGATCGAGGTCACTTTTCTAAGAGAGACCTGAATGAGAAATATTGACGCAATATAGACAACACAGCGCAGTAACTTTTAATAACTTCGTTTTCATACATGTGTATAAAAAATTAACACCATCACATGGTACATAAAATGGGCCGCTTTGCAAAATAAGTACCATATAAACATGAAAAACTGCAGATTTAAAGTTTTTTGCCATATGTTGCAGGTGCTCTGTTTGAAAAAAAAAATAATAATAAAAACGTTCAAACTTAGGCAGCCACTCAGTAACACAGGCACCTAATTAACTAATAGCAACAGATTGACTGGCTCAAATAACACTAATAAATAACAAAGATAACATAAAAACCAACAAAAATTAAATTTACTAATTAATCACTGGTTGGAACATTACTGTGGAGGAAGAGAATGTGGCTGACCGACTGCGGTCCCAATCCTGTGCGTCTCTCTTCCAAGATGTGCCCACAGACACTGAATGCCCGCTCTGAAGGCGCACTGGATGCAGGGATACAGAAGATGAAACGTGCCAGCTTTGAGAGCACTTGGAAGCGCTCTTTGTTGAACTTCCACCATTGAAGCACATTGTCTGGGTCTGGGTTGTCAGAGAGCCAGCAGGTGAGATATTCAGAAATTTCATCATCGACCGACTTTGGTGCTGAAGCAATAACATGGTAACATGGGTAACCCGTTATCAGCCACCCTGTGCGAATTTTTCATGGAAGACCTAGAACAAAAAGCCATAGCCACTGCTCCCCCAAACTGCAATATAAAACTATGGAAATGCTACGTAGACTACATACTGGAAATCATACCAAAAGGACGAACCGAAACACTAACACAACACTTGAATAACATTGACGACACGGGCAGCATAAAGTTCACATATGAGACAGAAACAGAAGGCAGCATAGCATTTATGGACATGAAAATAACCAGGCAGACCGACGGGACCCTAAACATAAACACATATAGGAAACCAACACACACACAGACCAATATCTATTATGGACATCAGAACACCCCACCATACACAAAATGTCAGTAATCAGAACATTATATCACCGAGCAAACATAATAACAGAAGAAAGAGACCGTAAACAAGAGGACAAACACATACAATACGCTTTAAAGACCTGCGGATACCCAACATGGGCAATAAACAAAGGAAAACAACAAACAACAACAGAAAGAAAAGAACAACCAAAGCAAAGAACCAGAAACCCAGAAAGACAAGAACCAAAACCAGTGATAACCCTACCATACATCAAAGGCATAACAGAAAAAATAAGAGCAACAATGAAGAAACACAACATAAACACACCAACAAAACCATACACAACAGTCAGAAACAGACTAGTGCACCCAAAAGACAAGATACCAATTGGACTTAAATGTGGAGTCATTTACGAAATCCCATGCAAACTCTGCAATAAAACAAACATAGGAGAAACCGGACGCCAACTCAACACACGAACAAGAGAACATAGAAAGGAGTGCGAGAAAGAGGCAAGTCGAAAACACACAAGAGCAGCAAAAGAAGAAGCAGAAAGCACAATAAAAAAATCAGCTGTAACAGATCACTGCATAAGAGAAAACCATATAATGGACTGGGACAACACAAGGATCATAAACACCGAACAACAAAAATACAAAAGATGGATAAAAGAAGCAATGGAGATAAGGAGACGTGGATGTGGGACCATGAACAGGGACGATGGAGTTTACACGTTGGACCGCTCATGGGACTGCATCGTCGGAGAGGGGAGAGCGGGCAGTAGAGGGCGACAACGTCCTCTGCTGCCCGCGGATAAACGGAGAAGGAAGTGACGCCACCATCAGCGTCAGCCTGAGGAAGTTTGCAGCCGCAAACGAAACATAGCGGGAAAACAGGTAAACAACACTGCTCTGTGTTTTAAAAAAGAACTAAGCATGGTGCCCATAAGTTCTTCCAGACATGAGGCACACACATTGGCGACTTTGGAGAGCAAGGGCTCGTGGGCTGCAGCTTGGCAGTGTTCAATGAGTCTCACGGACCACAGCAGTGGAAGTGATGTGCTGGGAGTGGAGTTGTCGGATTCTAGGTCATTGGTAGCATCCTTAAATAACTTAAGGAACACAACTACTGTTTTCAAAGTGTTTCCATTGATCTGCACAATCGTTTGATATTGGTTATTCCTCAGCAGTAATGTGGAGATTTCCTCATGCTGTTGAAGTATGGAATCCAGCATGTCATCATTTGAATTCCATCAGGTCTCGACTGACTGCTTGAAAGACTTTTTAAAGTTGTTTTGCAGAACTGAATGTTTCAAATATTTCACCAGTTTTTTTGCATTGGTCAACAGTTCAGACAGCTCCGCAGTTTCAGCCAACTTGCCTGGTGAAAATGCACTAGACAGAGTGATGTTCAGGATGTGCGCGTTGCAGTTCAGCCTCGTGTATCTACACAGGCCAGCAACTAAGTTGGCTTCACGGTCAGTGACGAACACAACACGGCCAGACAGAAGTGTCGCATCTATTCCAAACTCATGGAGTTTCTGGAAGAGTAGTTTCCTGATATCCTCCCCTGTTTTTGACACACCACTCTCGAAGGGAGCCGCAAATAACACCCTGGAAACTAGGTTGAAGTCGTTTGCACAATGGATGGTGCCGGATATAAATGACGTTTTATGATAATCCTCCGTCCATATATCTGTTGTGATGGCGCATCCGTATGTTTCAGTGATGGGCCTTATCTCCACTGCCACTGACGCCTGCAGTGCTTTTGCTCGCCCCTCGACATGTCTGGATACAGTGGTTGGATGAGGTAAAAATATCTTTTACATCAAATTTGCCCTGTTGCGCTATGTCAAAAAAGCCTTTCTCGGCAATGAAATCATATGGCCGTATGTCTGCGCGGCACACTTCCACACATTTCTCAGCAGTCTCTTGTTTAATGTGTGCAGGGAGAAGTGGTTTATCCTTGAAAAGCAGCTTACTTTGACTGGGGAGAACAGTGCAGTTGTGCCACCTCAAGCCAGAGGTGCTGGATTTGTGTCCATTGTAGACTAGTATTTTTGCACATTTGTCACAACTGATGAAGTCCAGTTCGTTTCCAGCTTTATCACAAACAATTGAGAAACTCCTCCAATTGTCTGACTTGCCTTGCTTGGTTTTTGTGTCATAAAAACCTTGTTTCAGCTTCTTTTCAACATCAGTTGCCGACTCCATCATACTCATTCCGATCCCGCACTGTTTCTTTTAGCAGACCGTTCCCGCCTACAGCAAAATTCACACCGCCCCCTCTCGCCCAACGCAGCCCTCTAGTCCATGTTACCTCCTGCTAGTGCGCATGTTGGATGCAGAAAGAGCCACAATCGTGTCTTGTTGTGCTGTTGGTTGTTAAATCGTTTTGATAAAAACAACAAAACAACCAAGTTCTACAGAATTCCATTGACACACACTCCTTTCAAGGTAAACACAAGATGTCTTTGGTTGCAAACTATCAGAAGTGATTGGAATGAGCGGATGATGAAAAATTCTCAAATCTGCAGCAATCACTTCATATCTGTTAACTCTTGGCTAACAGCAAGCTAATCAGCACCATATGATTTATAAACTCAAGTTATTGAACCCCATAGCTTAGCTTCATTTTAGCTTCATGCTATACACATACACTCACCTAAAGGATTATTAGGAACACCATACTAATATGAGTTGTCATACTAATACAACCCCTCTTTCAGGGTCCGAAATTAAATTTTTTACTCACCGGCCAAGTTGGCCGGTAGATGATGAAAATCTACCGGCCAAGCATATTTTTTACCGGCCAAAATTCTAAATGATTTAGATCTACCTAAAGCATGTAATTCTATATTATGTTGATTCCAAACAGAGTGACAAAATAATTAAAACATCAATTAATAAGGAAAACAACTCTTTTGTCATTTTTACTATTTATTTATTTATTTTTAGAGATGTTTTTATGAACTCTTTCATTGAAATCTAGTCAGACTCCTTGTTTTCTCTGTCCATTAAGTCTGGCCTCCTGCTTCTGACACTGTCTTTGTGCCAAAGCATTACAGCCTCATTTGGGTCATAGTCCTTGATCTCTGGAGAACACAGCTGCACCATGAAAATATCTGAAAGTGTGTCAGGGTGTGGTTCTTTTTCCTTATCAAAAACAAGAGAGAGACAGTTTATCCAATCTCAGCGTGGGGCTTTATTTGTACAATTCAGCAATACATCACCAACACTTCATGGGGACAGCCTTCAGCCTTGACCTAAATGCCTCGGCTGGAAACCTGCTGCAAAGCCCTCTCTCCTACACCACGCAGCATCGGTTATACTCTTCTGGCCCCCACCCTCATGATTTCGGGAAATGATGGGATGGCTGT